AGGCATCATTTTTATCCTCCCTTGTATTTATTTTTTAAAAATGTTTTAAATACTCTTGTAAAATTCAAGTATACATCATTTAGTTTTTTATATATATGTTATTTTAAGTATAGAGCAGGGTTTCTTAAACTTTTTCAGTCGCAACCCCTTTTTATCACTGAGATTTTTGACTCTAGTGTAGAGTTGGGTGCCCCTACGATTGGCGACAATTTTTTAAAAATTTTGGCGATGAAACTTCACTTCTGGTTACCACGATAGTTTTAACTTTGTTTTAGCTTCTCGATTTTATTTAAATGAAAATAGATTGATGTGTACATGGACATATTTAAGGCAGTGCGCAATGCCTAGTTTATGCAATTCTAGGATGTTTTTTTAAGTAAAAACAGATCGATGTGTACATGGACACAGATCTTGTGCAATTCTTTGACTTTTTATTTTCGTTTTGTGTAGCAGCCATCTTGAAGTTGTACCTTCATGCCGCCGATCTTGGCGTCAAAAAGGAATCGCCAATAAACAAGGGGCACCCAATTGTAAACTTTTACCAAACAGATTTTTTCGTGACCCCCAGGACCCTATGATATTTACAAAAATTTTGTGGGACCCCATAAGTATTGCGCAAATCCGACATATGCGTCAGTGAAACTGTCAATTTTTCCACTTGTACTGTTGCACCATTTTTTCACTTGTATTATTGCAGTTTTAATTTCTAATTTTAAGACATGGAAGAATGTGAAATTTTTTTTTTAAATAAGTAACACACGAAATGACAGAGTCACGTCCGAAACAATGAAAATTAACGTTTATATATAAAAAGAATGAGTCGAAACGTTTTAGTTTTTTTCTTTATCTGTAATGTTTTATCTTTATCTGTTTTCAGTTACATTGTGTAAAAATAATTGGTAATTGTTAAATTATTATATTAAGTTAAACAAATATCAAAATTGCTAAAATTTTGGTGACCCACAGTTTAAGAAACCCTGTTATAGAGCTTGTTTAACCATCTAAGAGAGGTGCTAAGTTTTATATATCGAATATTTGAAGTTAAATATTCCCCCAGTACATGCAGAGATCTTCCATATTAGTGAATTTTTCACATTAGTTCCTTCTTCTTGAGGCAAGGTCATTTTATTTAATTTTATTATTCACTTTAGATTTTTTTGATTAATACTGCATGTTTTCTTTGTTAATAAAATATGCTTTATCAAATAAAGAAAATTAATATCTAAATTTATGTTATTGTAAAAGAAAAGTACTCTCGATATAAACGGTTTTATATAAATTTCTTAATATGCTTATTGAATGTATGTCTACTGTATCATCCTATTGCTATGAATAATTTTCAGAGTATCATCCATTTTCTTCGTGAATAGCTCTGTGATTTAAGCTTTATTTCTTTTGTCTATCTTTTTTTGTTGATTGCTATAAAATTGCTGTGCTGCTTTTGCCTAAATAGGCATCATCTTCATTATTATTATCAAAGTTATCAGATAGACTTTTTCAGAATTGTTACTATTCATTTCCTTACTTTCATCACCTCATTTTGCATTTTGTGTTCTCCATCATTACACATTGAAAAGACTGACAAATTTCTGTGGATTTTATGGCTAGGGTTTGAATGTAGGAATAGGTGTAGTGAATGATATTTTTTTGCCTTCTAAAGTGTGATCAGTAAAATGATTAGGACAGGACTAGATTTAAATGCAGTAGTATCTCATTTCAAGATGTGCCTCAGAGATATCCCGCCTTCTATAAATATTCCTGGTCAGTATAATTTATTGAATTAAAAGTATTAATTATAAATATGGAGGAAGTGCAGAATCGCCCACTGCTTGGCACATTTTTAAGAATTGCACTAACTCAGTATCCATGTGCACACCAACCTATTTTCACTTGAGAAAACATCCCAGAATTGCACAAAAATGCTATTGCGTACTCCCTTGACTTTATCCATGTACACATCGACCTATTTTCAAAGAAAAAATTTTCAAAGTCAAAGAAAATTAACAAAAATCCAATTCTTTTTACTCTTGTAAAAAGACGCCAAACAAACGCCAAATAAAGAAGTGGGCGATTCTCCACTTTAGCGATAAATATAATTTGTATTATGCTTATTATTGCTGCTGCATAAGCTCATGAAATATTTGGGGGTGATAGGATCAAAATTATATTCAATAATCAAATAATTTTCCTTTCTACATACATATTTCAAGCAACTTGCAAGATCATAATAAAGAGTGATTTGTGAAAGAATTTATATTCCAGTTATAAAAAATTGACAACATTTTTTTTTTTTTTTTTTTTCATCTGCAGAGTTTTAAATAACCTTGACAAAGAATAATTATCTGATGTTGAGTTTGAATATTATAATATTATATTAAAAATGATATATCTGAAAAGTTAAACTAAGCTATTCAAGTATAAAACTGAAATTGAACAGAATGGAGCTAGATTCTTACTTTAATTAGAAAAATCATGTGTCTTTCATATTAAACATTAATAATTAAATTCTACAAATGCAATAACAGAATTTATATTTCAATAAAAGGTATAATAAAACCTCTCATTAGCCGCATCTTTAACACGTTGAGTGCATCCGTTCAGCCGACAGCAAGCTAAGCCGTATTTTTGTTTAGAATGTTTCAATACATTTCATTAAAACTAAATTTGATCACATTTCATTGAGACTATATTTATTTTTTAACTTTAATACTATCGGTCCCGCAGACCAACACCAGTCAAACGAAAATTCCAGTGCTGGCCACACGGAAAATTCACTGTCAGTTCACGCCGCACTCAACATGTTAAAATGGAGAGTATTTCTGAGAACATAAACATTGGTAATTGAGAAATGAAAGGCAGATACCATATGTAATATACATAAATTATTAAATGCTTTTGTATCAAACATTACATTTAAATAACAAAGGTATGTATTTTCTGCTCGGTAAAATCTTTTGATATGTATAGTTTGACTTCTTTTGTTTCAAAATAAAATACCATCCCTTCCTATTCAAGAATAAAATATCTTCTTTGCTTTGCAAACTAATAATAAATATACATGCTGCTAATACCTGGATTTTTGTTTACCTGGATTGCATGTTATTTTTGATAAACCAAATAAAATTAAACTTCTTGCTGTATAGTTATTCATTGATTTAAGTATTGACATGAACGATGGACTAAATTAACTGATTGAGGGAGTACACAAGGGATATCTGCATAAGAAGGTTGGTTTGGTTTTTGTGATTATGGCAAAGCCTTGAGAGCTACATGTCTAATGGGAGAGATGCCTTCGTGGAAGACTTTCTAACGAAAACTGACTCTTATGCAAGTTATACGTGGGGAAAACTACAAAAACATCAATGCGGCCTGCGAGATTCAAACCTTGGACCAAACTGCATAAGAAAGGATGTTTACTTTTAGAGCTTTCAAAAAGGGAACTGATGTTCATGTTACACACAGGGTAGAAAACTCATGAAAATTCCCATTCACGGGTCTGTCAGAACTTTTGTTCTTTTCCAACCATAGCAGCATTTAAATAACATGAAAAGCTAATACATTAATACAGTGCAGTATTGTGTATATATTTAAGAAAACTCTTGTAAACTGTAAATATAGAAATTTAATGTGTTCAGTTTTTAAAATTTTTAGTGTTTGTACCTGTGATATCTTAATTGAAAAATTGTTAGTGGGCTTGCCTTTTCTTACTTTCCGATGCCTGCAGTGGCGTAGCTAGGATTTCAGCACCAGAGACAACTGAAGAATTTGTGCCACGTTCTGTGTGCCAAGAATGGAAAAGTTTCATTAAAAAATTTCGTAGCATCAATTTGGCGCTGCCTGGATGCTGGACCCAGGGACATGTTCCCCCTTGCCCTACCCTAGCTATGCCACTTGATACCTGTCTCAGAAAAATGCTGCTATTCATCATATATGAAAAAGAAATATTTTCTTCTTAAAGGAATGCTGTAAACAATGTGTCTATTGTCATAAAATATTTTATCAGTTATGCCTGCAACATGGGGTCTCAACCATGGAGGAATATCCCCTGTGGGAAGAAATTTCATAGTTTTTTTGGGGGGGAAGGGAATGCATCAGTCTTTTATGTTCATTTTAGTTAATAAATATAAAAAAATACTTTTGTTCAAGTTTTGGTACTTATCAACATTTTCTATACTTTTTCCTTGTTTAATTTTAAAATGCATTAAAAAGCAGTTTAAAATTTTAAGTAGAAGTTTATGTGTTTTTTAATTTAGCTTTGGAATGAAAGAAATGGGGGAATGATCATCTAGCAATGGTGAAAGGGATGCCTAAGTTAAAAAAGGTTAACAAGCACAATAATTTTGATTGTCAGGGAAAAAAGTTGAAATTCTTCGAGCAGATGATAAAATTTCTTAGCCTGTTAATTATTCTAACAATTTCGTAGAAAATTTTCATCCTAGGTTTAAAATAAAAACTCTGCATCCTGGATTTATCCAGTTTCCAAAAATGCTTGTTACACAGTGGCATAATGATAAAATAATTCTCACTTTATAAAATAAGCTTTATATTACTATAGTCAAGAAAAAATTATGATCAGTTCATTTTAAAATGCCATGTCCAAGAACTTGCTTTGGAAAATTTTTAGAAACTGGCTAAAGTTTTATCAACATCTAGAAAAAATCTGCATTTTATTTCCTGTTGTTATTTACAAATAAATTTGTTTTCAATGAATAAAGAATTTTTTGGCCGCTCCAAAAATGGTAAATTTAATGAGCAAAAAACATGCATTAAATTTTGTTTTTAGAAAGAAATTTTTACAATAAAATTTCTTCCCCTTCTTGAATTTTATATTTCTGTGATTTGCATTACATAATATGTACTTTATGCGGTAAAGTATATTAACATATAGGCTTGAGTTTTATAAATTTTGTATCATATATTCAGAATATTTTATATATTGAGCTTTAAGGCTTCTTTTAATTTTTTATACTCTTTTTTTTTTTCCCCTCCTTCTTTTCTAGGAAGTTATTCATGGTATGGAGTAAAAGAGCAGAGTCTATAAACAAAATGGGATCCCAAGTTGTTCCACAAACATTTCATGACATGGATATTTTCCCCTCATCATCTCAAGGTAATTAAAAAGCATTAGGGCATCATATTTATCTCAGACAGGAAAAAAAGGTAAAATTTGAATGGTAGTAAACTTTGAAATTTCTGGGTAATAATTTTTCAAAGTTCACAATATTGATTTCCTGAGATTTAGAGAAACATTTATGCTCTTGGATTTTGAGAAACTTTGCAAAAAACTTGCACCACATTATTAATTTATTATGAGAGAATTTACACATAATGATGCAGTTGCTAGAAGCAGGAGATGAATCTTTGATTGCAGAATTTTTCTGGAATACTGGTTGTTGTTTCCGGACAATTTTTCGAAATATCCTGTTGTTGTATCCTATTGCTAATAAATCAGTTGCATATTAAATTATATTTATTAGCTATATTGCTGTATCAATTTATTTCATTTATTTATGTGGCTAAAGCCATTTTTATTGCTGATACAGTGAAACGTTTTTGCATGAACTTATTTTGCTTCTGAAGATAGTTTGTCAACCCAAATAGTCATAAACCAGAACAATTTTCCCCATAGGATTTAATTTAAAATTAATAGTCAAGTTCTGAATACTGAATTATTATTTAAAAGAGTACCAGTAAGTTCATAATACAAAATTGATGGAATTTATTAAATCAACACAGTATAAGCATAAACACAATGCTTAACATATTAAAAATAGGCAAACTTGAATTTGTATTACAGAGTAATGTTGATGGCATAAGTGAAAAATGAAGAAGCCAAGGATGCAAAATGTTATTGTTTGAGAAAGAAATAATATTCTATAAAAATATAAGATAGCTGTTGTCTTTTTGGTTTTCCGGCAACCTTTCTGTTAACATTGCCAATTACTTCAGAATTACTGGGCCTTTTCTCATTAAAAAATTTGTTCATTGTGATTTATTTCTGTTTATATTTTAAAATGTTTCTAAAGCAAGCCATGGGATTGCCATTGCAAATATTATACTACTGGTTCATCAAGGTGATAGTGTCCTATGAACCTTTGCACGTTACACTATTTTGAACAAATTTCATTAGTTAAGTAACTGAGAAATCCTCACTTCTGTAGACATTTCCAACACTGCATTAATTAATTTTTGGAGTATATTTCTCATTGCCAGTATACTTGTTCATATCTCAAGACATCATAACTCATTCAAGCTATTTTACTTTTGAAAATTTGTTTATGATACAAAGCTCCATTGTATTAAAATTAATGCATCTTGCATCAGTGTCATATTAAAATAAAATGAATGTAAATCTCTGGAACTTAGTTTAGATTTGCATTATATAATTTATAAGTATATTTTCAAACTGATGCTTGCATTTATAAATGGAAAATTTCAGTACTCTCTCGTGCTGTTGTATGTAATCAAAATGCCAGCTGTCAGTGTTTGATATGATATTCTTGATGCATGTATCTTTTTTTTTTTTTTTTTCGTATGATGTCTGTTGACATGTTTTGACTTTCAAACTATTTAAATAGGAAAAGTAATCTATCAATTAATAAAGGATTTAAAAAATTTGTAAAAAAAAATAAACTAGAACTTGCAGAGTTATTTAATATTCTGAAAATCCTATAAAATACTCAGATATAGTCACAAAAGTTCACCCCATTATAAAATTACTATTCCGTCTATAAAGATAAAATGATACAATTCTTTAACAGTTGTTTTTCTAATGTAAACCTCCCATTAGTTTCCCACCCTCAATTTATTGTTTATGTCTCTTTTACAACAGTTCAATATATGTTTTATTATATATGTTATGTATTCATTTAATGTATAATAATTTTTAAATTACAATCTATCATAACATTGACTCATTCAATACCTTTTTTTAGTTCATGAGATGTTACAATGTGCCAATGAATGCTCAAAGAGACAAAATGGAGATTATATTACATTTGGAGAATTTTGTGTGTATGCATCAGAATTAAAATCCTGTTATGAAAATAAGTACGCTATTTTGTGCATTATCATATTATTATTCTCAAATAATTTGAATGTATTGGAATATATGCTTTATTTGCTTCATAAGTGATGCAGGGCTATATTTAATCAATCACTTAAATAATGTAATACTTTCTTACCAGTTTTTATGACATGTAATTTAATTATTTTTAATTACAGTCAAAAGTCTTTAATCCGGACTTGTCGGGACTTCGGCGATTCCGGATTATAGATCATCAGTTTAAACCTGGTAAGATGGCATGCAGAAATTATAAAATTAAAAATATGAAACCGTAATTTATGAAATAAAGAGCAATTATGATCTAAAGGGTATCAAAATTTACAAAAAAAAAAAAAAAAAAAAAAAAAAGCTTAATATTTATTTGTTTACTTTATTAAACATTTCTTTCAACGCGCGCATGCGTAAAGCATACATTATGCATAGTCGAAATTAGAAAATTGCAACCAGAAAACTATTTGATGTGTATTCGTGATATTTATAATGACGAGGAATTTGATTTAAATCATATCAAAGACGGAAGTACATCGAGATGAAATACTACATTTAGTAAGGAATTATAAGCTGAATAAAATAAAAACATCTGCCCTGAAGATAAGGATAGTGCTGACAGATTTAGTTCCAGTTCATTGCACTTCACGACGTCTCCCTCCCCCACCCCGCAGAGCAGCGTGAAATTGATAAACAGATTTCGGAATGGTTAGAGAAACAAAGGATATGCCTTTATCCATTTTTTGCAGCAATTCCACTTTTTGTTTGATGGACATCGAAACGTACTTTCGCTTTGTAGATGATCCTTTGGCAGCTCCAGCATCGGAAATTCTATTTGACATAATCGAAAGTTCAAGCTTACTTTTATAAAATTGCTCTAACAGTCTGCAAAAAAGAATAAGCCGGATCCAATTCGAAGATTAAGGAACAATGCAATCTGCAACATTAACTGAAATAGATAATTAGATAATTTTAGCTTAGCTTATACCGTCCGTTATACATTAAACGCGCATGTATTATGTGCATGCGCACACGTATATGCGCATTCGTAAAAGTATTATGCGCATGCGTCAACGCGTTATGCTTTTGATGTATGCGCAGAAAGTTTGTAGCTTTGAGGTCCGGATTAATGACTTTTGACTGTATTAAGCATTTTAAGACATTAAGTTTGTATAATTGTAAAGTAAAAACAATTTACTGATATTTTTAAATTTGATATTAATGTCACATTGAAATGGTGAAGAAGGGTGAAAATGTTGAATAAAAATTTAAATATTTGAAGAAGGGAAAATTGAGATATTTCCTTTACAAATTGTTTCATTTTTTCTATAAATAAATTTTAACTTTTTTCTTTAACTAGTAGCATTTTAACCTTTTTTTCTTCCTTAATGAATAGAATTCCTCGTCCAACTCCTCTATCCAAATCAGCTAAAGAAACCCGGAAATTAAGCAATAGAAGGAGAAGTGCTGTACAGCGTGAGTTATTAAAGCAATCCTTAATTTTTTTAAGAATGTCTTCATGGAAGATTTTTAAGGGCAACTTGTTAAGTCAGTTTTCCATAAAATATGCATGATGAAGACATTTCACCTAAGCAGATAATGCTTAAGTACTCAACCAAACTAAAGTTAATATTAGAAATTGTAATTTTATTTATAATTAAAATAGTTTATTTAATTTTTCACATTCATTACTTAGTAATTTTTTCTTATTTTATATTTTAGGGTCTTCAAAATATCAAGGTAACTATTTTAATTAATTTTCTTATCTTTTATTTATATATATTTTTTTGCAATTTATGATTATATATGGTATAACTTAAATGATGCACATTATCTGAACTCAAATAGCCAGAAATAGTGAACTTAAAAAAAATCTTCAAATTGAGGAAAAACATTGCTTGTGATAGCATTGTTTATCTGTAGGCCCCTTCAAGCAAGAAAACAAAATATATGTTATACGCATTAATACAGATGATGTAGAATGTGATATATTTTCCCTAAAAAATTAAGTACATTTTTTTCCATTTCTGACTTTTCATAAATATTAAAATACAGGGTGATCTTTTTTAAAGTGACAGTGTTTGGAGCGCCCTGTAGCGCGACCTAATAGTCGAAATAGCACCAAACTTGGTATTTAGACTAATCAAGACATGGAACATCAAGACATACAATCGTACAGTTAAATTATTAATGTTTATTTATTACATTAACTTCCCCAGTGAGGAATTAGACGTGTGAGCTCTGTTCTCAGAAATAACACCGTGCATTCTGTGCACAACGTTCTCCACAACCGTATGTAACATATCACGAGGAATATTCAACACTGTCTTTGTTATGTTGTCCTTTAGAATAGACAAATTTGGTACTCCACCAACATAAACTTGAGATTTCAAATAACCCCAGAGCCAAAAATCGCATGGCGTGAGGTCAGGGTAACGAGGAGGCCATGCAACTGGAAAACTGCGACTTATGATTCTATCATCAGTGAAGTTTTGGTGCAACAGCTGCTTTACCTTATTACTAATGTGTGGCGGAGCACCATCCTGCATAAAGATTGTCTGTTCGAGATGGTTTCTTTGCTGAAGTTGTGGAATATGACAAACGTTTGCAGCATTTCGTGGTACCTTTCTGCATTTTTGGTGCAGTGATGGTCTCAAAAGAGAATGGCCCAATTACGAATTCGACTGTGAAACCACACCAAACACTGACTTTTGGGGAATTTAATGGGATTTCGTGCACGGTGTGTGGCTGCTCAGAAGCCCGAATTCAGCTATTTTGTGTGTTTACGAACCCATTGAGATAAAAATGGCACTCATCTTCCCACAGAATATTTCATGGGAAAACATCATCAATTTCTACCCTGGCAAGAAACAATAGAGTGAATGTCACTCGCTTATCGTAATCACTTGGTTTCAGTTCGTGCAAGCGGCTGATTTTGTAGGGGTAAAATCCAATAACGCACCGCAAAACTCTCCATACTGTGGAATAATTCATGTCCATTTGTCGAGCTACACCCCGGGCGCTACTCGTACCAGCAAAGGTTCCCTGCGATCCTTCGACAATTGCAGTAGCCACATCAGTTATTACATCTTCTGATACTGGTTGACGTCCTCTCCCAGCGCGAATGGTCAGTGACCCCGTTTTCTAAAACTTCTTAATCATTTTCTTAAGTCCATTCGGCGATAAAGGCACTTTCGTAATTTTTTTCTGGTTTTGAAATTCCCGAAGAGCTGCGGGTGCATTACATGGATTCATGTAATACAGCTTCACCAGTAATTGCACGTTCCGGTAACATGAGAGGCATGTCCACTGGAGCTCGTTTACTTCAGCTGAGATTATTTGTCGGAGCTGTCTACTACTTGCTTTTATAGCCCTTGTCACTGGAGCTGTCATTGCACAACATTTGTATTTTTCTTTGATACCCATGTTTTATGCTAATTCTCATTATTGTAAGCTACAGCAGTATTGTCTCATTATTGTAAGCAAAATGCCCTAGCGGCGATTTTCAGAACTTTTTTTTTTTTTTTTTTTTTTCACGGAATCCTTTTTCCCATGTCTTGATTAGTCTACATACCAAGTTTGGTGCCATTTCAGCTATTAGATAGCGCTACAGGGCGCTCCAAACACTGTCACTTTAAAAAAAAGATCACCCTGTACTTTAGGTTTAAATAAAAATAAATAAATAAAAAATATTTTGAATATCAGATATTTGTGTACACAGTTCTTCTGTTCTCACAGCTTTAAAGTCATGCCTTGGTTTCTGAGCATAATACATTCCAAAAATGGGCTCACAGTCCAAAGCATTAATATATCAAACTAAATTTTCTCGTCAGATGCTTCTTTCCGCAATCCAAAAATATCTATGTAAAATGATAATACAAAATATAAATTGAATAAAGTTAAGTGAAATCTACATTTTACCCTTGAAAATAATTGTGAGTAATGATTGGAATCCCTGTTATCCTACTATAATATTTCTTATTTCATGTGATTTTACCAATGAACTTATCCAATAACTATAGCTTTTGTCTCCTTTCGAGAATTTTGCAGAAATCTAACATTGCATTATCGTTGAACAAATTCATCTCACACAATCTTTTTCTGGTTCTTTTCTATCAAATCTTGCTCTGTTTCCCAATTTTATACATTTTTCTAATCTGATTTGAGATGAGGCATTCCTCCATCTTTTTCTCCTCCTTTGAGATGAAATCTCTTCCACAATCCCTTGCTATCACTCATGATTTTGTTTGTCATCAGTTTGTCAGTGTTCAACTCTTGGCCATGTTCCTTCATCAGTTTTTGAATATTATTCTCATAACCACATAGTGTTTCCCCAAAGACAGAACTTGCATTGCCAATTGGTGTTTCATATTTATGAGTAAACCTCTCCGTGAACATGATCAGGCTACAATTTTCTCCAAGATAACTGAGGGGCTCTTGGTAATCCCATCCCAGGCTTTATGATTGATCTTGAGGCTGTTCATAATGTAAAAATGAATTTCTGGAGGATATTGCTTACTCCTTTCAGTCATCTCAAACCACGACTGAAGTAGTGCTTTAATGTAAAGCTGAAAATGACCTGCTGCTCCATGGGCTGGAGTAGTGAAGTGGTGCTGGAGAAAGAAACTTTGATGAACTCAAATTTTCTGCAGTAAGTCATCCTAAAGAATGACCAGGAGTATTACATATAAACAGTGATATTTGGGGTTACAGCTTCCTTTGTAAAAAGTATTTCTTTAGTGTATAATTGAAAACCTCATTGTTCTAATTAATGAAAGGATGTGAGTGATCCCAAATTTTGTTACTGGACCTTCACATAATGTTTAATTGATATTTCTTCACCTTGCATTTCTTGAAATCTCATGGATTAACCATTGCTAATTGCTAATTGATTTAACCAAAGTGATAACCAGCAAGATCTTGATTTTGAGCTCTCTACTTACATTAGCATACCAAAAGAGGATGAGATGGTCTTTTATGGGATTGTGACTGAAAAGTTAGTTGTAATGTAACTCTTATGATGTAATGCAGTTCCTCTAGTACCTTTTTCCAAGAAGAAAATCCAGAGTTAAAATTTAACTGAGGTAACACTTGGAAATCATTAGTTTTTAAAACTCAGCAATTAAAGCAACTGTCTTAATGTCCAGACTCACAGACTATTTGTGCTTCACATTGCTTTGGATGCCACTTAGCCTTTTAAAGTTATCAAAATATCCCCTGCTCACCTTGAAACCTTTTTCATTTTTTCTTATTGTACTTGGTAATTAACGTACAATTGGTACATAAATATTTTCTCTTCTTGTATAAAGCTGTAAGCCATTGTATCATTTTCTACATGCTTCTTGTCTATCCAAATGAGAAGCAACTTTTTGTATCTTTCAGAAAATATCATTTCTTTGATGCTCTCATGGCATCCATCTTCTCTATTTCTTTGTTTTATCAAGTAAATATTTTCCCTTCTTATATAAAGGCTGTATGTCATTGTATCTTTTCTACATGCTTCTTATCTATCCAAATGAGAAGCAATTTTTTGTACCTTTCAGAAAATGTCATTTCTTTGATGCTCTCATGGCATATAGCTCTTCCATTTCTTTGTTTTCTGTAATACTGTGCAAATTGTAGTAGACTTCTTATAAAATCTTGCAATGAGCTGCTCATATACCTTATTCATACTTCTCAGAGTTTTCCTTTCTGTACTTTTTGAATTAGCTGTAATCATTTCAAGTCTTATTCCTTTCATTTTAAACCTTTTTCTTCATGTGAATCATTATTGTTGTACAGATAGTAAGGGCAACGCATGGACACTTAAAAAAATTACGTGCACACACCTAGTAACAGTGCTATAATGCTGATTGTACGAGTAAATTGCACTGATTAAAATCAAGCATGGGAGACAAATACGTGCAGTCGCACAACAGTAATGAGAAAAACCATCAGGTTTATTGTGGTCATGTAACACTTGATAGGGAAAGCATACTTGTTATAATACCTCCCTCATTTATCAAGTTTATAAAAATTTTCGCTTACCTTCCAAATCGCTCATCGCCCAAGTTACTTGCAATCCAAGCCTTCACTGTATTTAAATGCCGCCTTATAACATTTAATCCCTGATCTTTTCATTTTATTCCATAATTATTACCTGTAAGGGAATCTTTCTAGTAGTATTATAATTAGTGAGTTAAATTCTTTAAGATCGAAATCTCTGAATTTATTTGCATAAGAATTTTAACTCTGTATTACTTGATTTCTATAATTAAAAATACAAGATAAATGTTAATATGTTTTCGTAGAATTTTGTATGTGAAGTCATTAATGTTTTCTGAGAATTCTAAATGTCATGCATAAATAAACCTTACACCTTCGAGAATAGGAATAACTATTTCAAATTCAGTTTTAAACTTTATTGATAAATAATAAAAGAAATATCCATAATAAATGTCCAGTATAAATAATAATATTACCCTATAGCTTGGTGACAGTTTATTATAAAAGAACACAGGATGATTTGTATAGGAAATTGTATATGCTTGAAATTACTTAAAATTATAAATTAATATGCAAGGTATAAATTTGTAATCTACCTCATAAACAGGTGTGCCTGTGCATTCATTTCTAATGTATATATTTATCTTTATTTTATCTTATTCACATTTTTAATAACTTCCTTTATTTCTAAAAATTCATACCTGTCATTTTCCTTAACATATGAATAGTAATTATGCTGTCTTGGGTATTTATCAGTTGTGCATAGTATGCGATTATAATGCATCAGCTACTTATATCATCGTATCATATGGAAAGCAATAACCAATATGTAGAACTGAGAAAATGAAGGTTTTAACTATCTATATATTGCTTTGTGAGTTGATATGTATTAATGTCTTGTACATTTTCATGTGTTTTCATAACATATAAATGAATTTTTTTTAAATATTTTTAATTTTTTGTAAACATTGGTTCCATAACCCTTTCAGTATTCCTTGGTGGTTCATGTAATCCTACTACTTGGAGAAGAGATATTGCTATACCTTTCTTTAAAAAACTGGGAATTACATACTACAATCCAGTAAGCATTTCACATTCCTTTTAATTAGCATGTTATTTAATATTTGTGCAACATATTTTTCACGCAATTATATGTTATTCATAAATAAGCATAAGTTAATATCTATCTTAAAATTAATTTTTTGGCATTAAACTGAAGAACTGAAATAGTCATGGGTACTCTTTCTAAACGTTAAAGCTAGTTAGGGAAATGAAAAGTTGAATTTAAATAAGACTATAAATTTACAGCATGTGTGAAGAACATAATCTTGATATTTTTCTTTTCATATGAGTTTTATACAGGGTGATTGAAAAATATTTGGCAGATAATATAAACTAATTTTGTAATGGAATGTGTGTATGGAAATGGCACATTGAAATGATACAAGGTGCTGTGATCAATGAACATGGAGCTCATCGACATGCATTTTATTATAAGGACCATTGTTCAAACAGAGCAGCTACTCAGAGGTACTTAAAGGTGGTGCAGATAATGATTCTCAAGTACCTCCTTTGAGCAGCTACTTCATGTCTGTCTTCACCTCCATAGGTAAAATACAAGCTCCAGATTCATACAGCTATGCATTCCACTCAAAATGGAGCACACAAAAAATGGTGATTTTCTAAATGTCCTGCACCACTCAACATCATTTCCTCGTAGACAATTTTTAATCCCTCGTACATGCCTTTAAAATTTTGCCACATATTTTTTAATTACCTGGATAGGTATCATCTTGGTGTAATAATGTGAGGTGATATTATGAAATTAGACCTGAATACAAAATAGTTTTAAGAAGCATTAGCACAGTAGAAGTTCTGGATATAAGCACAATGAAATTATAACTTTGTTGTTTAGAAATAATAATCTGAAACTTGCATATTAAGAATGCATAGTTATATATTTATAACAAAGTTGATTTGGGATTTAATTTTCTATCTGTAGGTTGAGTACATATTGCATATGCTTAATATCATATTATTATCAAAGAATAGAAATTAAATTTAAATAAACATGAAAGTTATAGGACAGTAGAAAATAAGATATATAGACAATAAGTAAAAACCAAAGCAAAGATAAAAATAACTAGAAATGTCTGTTTTATTTGCAGTGAAAGAATGTCAAAATGTCATTTCCCATTTGAAAATGAGTTTCATTGACCCTAATGTGTAAAATAATAATGCTCATATATTTAGACAGAATGATCTTTTATCAAAGTGATGTACAAATTCCTATTGTACTTCCATTTAGTACTTCCATTAAAACAGTTTGGTGTGTTTGATGTTTGTGATTTATATTAAAATAACTATGGTACTTGTAGATTGATTGTATATTCCATGCATAACTGTATATACATAAAGGAGTAAATTCTCAAAAATAAATCTTCTGAATTAAAATTCAAAATTATTTTTAATTTTCTGTATAATGTAGTTTCTATAATGTGCTATTATACGATCAGTATTTTTTAATAATTTAATTATGTTTTGAATTAAATTATATCATGGTTCTGGGTATTTAAAATGCTATTAAATTATTTTTATTTAATTTGATTTTACCAACAGCAAAATATTCCTTATGCAGTAAGTCCTTTTTTATATTTTAGCAAGTTGCTCAGTGGGGTCCAGAACTGATTGAACTTGAAAATCAAGCTAAGCAAGTAAATATCATTATTCATACTTTTATTGAAATAATTAATGATTTTAATGTATGTGATCATTACATTTGTATAACTTCAAATCTATTTAATTAAAATCGAATATATTTATTCTAATTTTATATGATAGTATTTATATAGGATAGCTAATCTAAAGCCTGGAAACTTTTTCAAAAACAATATAAAATCAAAGAATTTGTATATCAGTATTTCTTTTTAAATGTTTTCAAAATACTATTTGTACTTGAACTTCAGTGGTTTTTTTATTTTCCTTTTAGAATGCTGAAGTTATGTTTTTTGTGATAGATAATCAAACAAGATCTGTAGCATCTATGATAGAAGCTTCTCAAATAGCTGGTTAGTATTAGTTTGTGAAAGGTTATATTGAACAAGAATGACTAAATCATATATTATGTAATACATTGTGTTTTTATTAAGTTTGCTGTAAAAAGATTTCAACTTAAATTATTGTGAAAGTATGTTGCACTTTAAATTAGGTTTTGACTTAGGAATTTTTTAACTTGTAGGGACACAAAGAAAACTAATACTAGTAATACATGAATTTGAGAAACCTGGAGCTGTTGTAATGGGAGAAACTGTTACAGAAAAGTTAGTACAGTTCTATAAGTTGATTATATGTATGTGTATAACTATAATGAAAATTTCTCCCTTTTCTCTGTCCTATACTTATCATGCCATTATTTTTTTCTTCATTGTGCTTCAGAATTATCTAACCACTTTGTGAAGAACATGTATTATTAATCTCTTTGTTGTGATTGTAAATCAAATACACTTCTCTAGAATACTTTTCATTAAAAGATATGTAATATCGAAAGTTTAGTTAACTGGTAAAAAAAATAGATGTTTTCTTACTTGTAATATTTTGTGTAATATAACAATCGAAGGAATATATTCTGTAACCTCTTGATGCCTAAACTATTTTATAAATATTTATAAATATAAAATTTTTTCTTCTTTTTTTCATTTCAAAAGCCCAGGTCAGGGGTAATTTGACCTGGGTTTGATTTCAGGGAAACAAACTGGCTGCATGGATGCTTTCATGATTTTCAATCTGTGTAACACAGATATGAACCAATTTCCCTTAGAAAAACCCTCTAAAAAGGCATCTCTTCCCTTGGACAAATAGCTCTGGAACACATTTTGTCACAGTAGGCTAAAACTGATCCTGCTATCTAATCAACTATTCACATTTGTCTGTATAAAGCATACATATGGCCTTTGTAATACTGGTACAGTTACTGTGTTCTATGAGATGTGTAACTGAAAATCAGTCATTCACTAAAATTTATAATCCTAGCTCTTCTGCCTTTACCTTTAAGGCCTTGTTTAGGCTGAAAAATGCTGTGAATGTTTGAGTGACATGTATTTCACATGACTTTAATTATCTTTTTAATAACTCATAACTGGTAAATGTCATCTGGTGGCATTACTATGAAATTTTATTAGCTCAGGATGATCTTCCTGTATTAAGTATAGAACACTGTAAAAAAACCAGTAGTTTCATAAGAACTAATTTTTCTAGGTTAGCACAGTAGTACCAATCTTTTGCATGTGACAAGTCATTAAATATGTGTTAATAATTTTGCTAATTTATAATTTTTCCCTAAACGAGTAAATTTTGTATCCTTAATTTCTGAAAATTTTAATTGTATATCATTATTCATTGTATATATTTTTATGTATAATTTTACTATCATGTGCAGTATATATTTTAATTACATTCATTATTTATTCTCATTCATTATATATTCATCTCTTTGCTGGGCTTGTTGCAATTATGTTATTGTGATTTTATAATTTAAAGTCTTGCTTGCTCTTGTAATTCAAAATAATAGGTTTAAAATTGTGTTGTAATGTTTGTTTAAAAAGTGCATAACAATTAAAAATAATTATTAAGTACTAAAGGAATTTTATTTCATGCGTCTTTTCATGTTCTGAAAAAATTTACTGATTGAGTAAAAATTTTCTTTGCAGGGAATTCCGAGATTTGCAGCAAGGTCAGCGATATCTCCAAGACTTAGTAGAGAGACAGGGCATTCCTGTTTTCAATAATATTGACCATGCTGTCCAGTGTACTGCTACTATTCTACAAAAGAATATCAAACCTCAGGATTTAACAATTGCAGATGCTGCACAACCAGTTAAAATGGCATACATACAGATTGGCGATAAACTTATGTAAGTTTCTGAGTCACTTTATGCTGAGAAATTTAAACTGAACCGTGCTGATTCATGAACTCTTATTGAATGATTTTTTTTTTTTTTTTTTTAAACTTTCTAGAAAGTTAAAAGAAGTATTTGATGACTTGGATTCCGATGGCTGTGGAGAGATCACACTAAAAGATGTATGTAGACCAAACATTCAAATGCATTTAAATTTTTAAAATTGTGTTTATGTGATAAATTCTGTTTTTCTTAAACTGTTAAATAGATTTATCTTTAAATATACAATTTTTTTTTGCATATGTTCTTACTACATCTTTCAAAATTTTAAGGTTTGCATGGCATTTAAAATACTTACAAGTTCTGAGCTGCCTATTGAGAAGTTGAAAGCAGTTGTACTTCAACAAAAAGGTTTCCCTAGCGATACCCTAAAAAATTCTTCCTTTGAAAACTGCAGAATAGATTTCAATCAGTTTTGTTGTATCATGACAGAGTTTAGGAGTGAGGTATGTTCTTTTTTATATGTTACCTTTTTCAAGAAAAATAATGATTTTAATTAAATTTTATTTTAAATTTTCTCCTTTTATTATTTTGATTAAATGTGTTATTATATTATTCTCTTAGAATTATTGACAGCTGTTCATGATAGAGACTTCTGAATCAATCAACTTACATTATTAAAGCCTTATCAGCTGTAGGTTATTCATATTTAGGAAATTACTACATTTGTATCAAATAAAAGGGCATTCTTTTCCTTTTTTCTTAACCCATTCCCCTGTCTCTGTAGTACTTTACAATGCATAGTGATAATTCACCTTAAGTCTTTAAAACGTTTCATACATTTTATGCTTCCAAAGAACACATGACATTATAAACTTACCGTTTAAATTAAATTATAAAATCCTTATTGCAGTTACCTTGAAATGTATAGTGGCAGAATTTTAACTGAAGTTACTTTTTAAATTTATATCATTAAGATATTCTTTCTGTATAAAAGATGTATTTATCTGTTTTAAAGGCTGAAAGTGGATCACTGAACTTTGCAGCTGTGAAAAGTAAAGCATCAGATTTCCTTTGCTCAGTTTTAACACCATTGTCCAAATTAGTAGGTAAGTATTCACACGTTATCTGAAAATTTTGTTTTATCTTTAGAACACTGCATGATGAAAAGTAAACATTTGCATTTTATTTTCAATTCATAAATGTATTCCTTAATTCAAAGCTGTCTTTTAACTCTAAATATCTCTATGTATGCTTTAGATGAATTACAGTAGAATTCAATCATTCATGTACCTTAGGACTAGCAATTGTGTGGATTACTGAATTTTGAAAATTTTTGTTTTTCGTTACATTTTTCCCTTTCTAACTTTTAACGTTCAGTTATTTTAAAAATTCTTTTTTACATGTTAAATGCTCTGTAAGAAAAGAAGAATGTCATACAGCTACCAACATAATTACTTTAAAATAATTCTCTACTTTCTCATTAACCACAACTTCCCTAAAAAGTTGTGAACTTGTGTTCAACTTCAGAGAGAATTTGTGAGCTAATTGGTCACTAATGTTTCACCAAGCTGATGCACAAAATACAACTAACAGTTCCATATAAGAGCAATTAATCATTCAAATTAAAAAATCAAACATTTTTTATAAATTACATTTCTTTTTTGAGCTGTTGTTTTCTGCAATTACACTTCACAAAATTGTTCTACTACAGGTATTTTGACACAAAATTGGACTTCTGAAATGACATGCCATTTTTTTTTTTTTCCATATTTGTATTAAGACTCAAATTACTGCCAAGTTTTGTAAAAAACGCACAAGTAGTTTTAAAAAAAAAGGTCTCAATATTTTGTCTCCTCAGTGTTAATTGAATTTGATATATATTTATTAAATATCTCTTTTTTTTATTAAATTTACTTGATTCTTCCTTTCATATTTCTAAGTTTAGGTTCATTCTAAATAAAATTCACCAATTTTTTATGATTTATTTTTAAAATTTTTATTTTTAAATAATTTTTATAAATTTTTCAAAAAAAATTGTGAATTATAACTTATAAAAGTTTTGCCATCATCTTAAAGTAGATGTATTTCTAAGCATACCTGCAAAAAATTGGAGTTTTTGTATTCAAAATTTTGTAAGATGTACATGAATTTACATTTTGGAGCGTTTTGAAATTTGGCGTATTTATTATAAGCGATAATAATGAAAATGTGGTGTATGCACTGTGTTAAAATTATTTGAAAGTATGAATGATGACTTCCCCCCCCCCTGCTCAAGCACAATGAAAATCGGTTGCTATAAATTAAGAAGTTTGCCAAGTGAATTATTCTTGGCACAAACTGAAAAAAAATTGCCAAGATAAAATTAATTTTTCCATAAATTTCTCACAAAAAATTACAAAATTTAATATCGAAGTATCTAAGTTGTAGAATCAAAATATGAAAAAAATTTGGTATGTTATTTTAAAAGAAGTCTGATTTTGTCTCAAAATATGTATGTTAGAACAATTGCTATATATAAGTATATATATCGTAAGTCACGCTTTCGATACATGGAAAATGCAGTTTGAATTTGGGCAATCGGCCCAGTAGAATGAGAGATATAGAACTGTCCCATCTTTTTTTTCAACCATAAGATTGTTGGTAATGGATTCTATGCATTTTTATTTACTTGAGTCAGTTAAAACCGTATGTGAAAAATTGTCTATGATCTTAGCAATAATTCCTAGTGATTTGAACAAAATTCGTACAACCGTTAGATTTGTCAGGTAATAAATCCTTCAAAGCTGAATTTTGAAAGCAGTGGGAGTGTTGAATGAGTGAAGGATTATACTCATATAACCAAACGTGGCAAAAATGCATAGAGCACCTTATGAAGAAGTTGCAAAGTGGGTAGGAAGTGCAGGGGAAATTAGTGAAAACATCGTCAATAGCATCAGGGCTCAAAGAAGCTGAAATTACTTTAAGGAAACTGTAAACCAAGAGGATGAATGTGAACCAAGAGGACGACTTAAACTAGACCAGGATAGTGAAGAATCAGATTTTTATGGCATGTCATGTAGTTTGTTGTAGTTCTTTTTGTAAGCAAAAGTAAAATTTAAAATTTTCTTCTGTCGTTCAATTTAATATCGTAGTGTTTTTATAACATAGTATGAGTATTATGTATATGGACTTCTTTAGTGGATAAATATAAGTATATTATCGTCATTTCTTACCTGTAATTTATTTTTGAATTATTGTTTCAGTTCATTAATTTTTCTTAACTGATGTGCAGTATATCAAGACATAGATCAAGGTTTTACATCTATAATGTTCATGCATGTCTTACATAATTTAACTTAGTGCAGTGTTTCTGTGCAATTTTAGTTTTCCCTACCACCACCATTTTTCTCAAGTACAGCAGCATTTATGCTGATGCAGCCTCTTTTTTTAGAAATTTTAATGACATTTTTAATTTACTACTTTATTATGAATTATTTTTTGTCAGTTGGGTAAATTATATATCATTTAAATGAAAATATTAGTTCTGGATTCCATCTAAATTGATACCATATTCTTGCATATTTCTCCCACTGGTGTGTTCCTTATATATTAATTTAGAATAAGCATATTGTTTTAGAAACATCTGATGTATGTCAGTCAGTAATGTACAAGACGCAGACAGATAGCAAAATATGTTGTGTAAATAAAAAGAACAGCATTAAAAGTATTAATTCTAAGTAATTTTTTAAAAAGCAGTTGTGATAAATATTTTAAATAGATATTAGTGCATTTATTGAGTTCTTTTCAATCAGCTAAGTTCTTATAATCCTTCCTCAAAACACAGTGTAATTTTCACCTTCCAATTTTCAAAGAAAAATATTAGAGAAATTAGTGGAAAAATAAGGTAATAAATGTTTTACTGTTTAATTGATTTTATATAATTTTATGAAATTAATTTTTCATAGATTGGATACGTCCAGGAAGTACATCAGATTCAGATATCAGAAATGTAGGTAATGATGTGTCTTACGATGCTACCTTAAGAGATGTTTATTTAGGTGGTACTAGGAAACCATCAACCTGGAGAGAAGATATTGCAATTCCTCTGTTAAAGTATGTCATGCTGATTATTATATTTTGCTGTTTGTTTTATATAGTATGTACATATTAGATTTAAGAGTTACTTATTTCCATTACAAGTATCATAATGAATAAAACTAATGCATAAAGTATGTGATGCCTAAGTAGTGTTTTGATTAATTAGGACAGTAAACTGATAGATTAAACTATTTTAACATATAGTTTCATATAAACAAACAACAATTCTTAAAATTTGTATATATAATTAGTTCATTTGAGAAATTTTAAAAAGTGTATGTTTGCTATTGGATTTTGGAATTGAGTAATTGAGTGAAAAAAATACTTGAGAAGGAAGTTTCTGAATAAAAATAATATTGAAAAAGTTTAATTTATAATTTAGGACTAAATTATTTCATGAAATTTTATACTAATAAATTAACAGTATTTTTCATTACCTTTTAATTAGTCGCCTTTTAATTCGGTAATTATGTTTTAAATTTTCTTTTGGCATAATAATGGAAAGCTTGGTAGTATAACCAAATTAATTCAAATAACCAAAATAACTACGAAATTATAAACAAAATTGCCTGAAAAAGAAAATGCAACACTATGAAAAAATAATTTGAAATAGGTCAGACTTTGTACTTAGATCCATAGCTCAAGACCTGATTTAATTTTCAGAGTAGTACAGTGATAGACACTTAGATATACAGAACATTAAAGATATTTTTTGGCTTCCATTTCATTCAGTACAACCTTGAGTACTTTGTTGCATTGAATCAATAAGTATTAAAATTGTGTATTCTGGTAATGAGTACTAAGCATTGTTGGAGTGTTTATGTAATCCCACAGTTAATTTTCATTTTATGATGGAGAAGAGGTGTCCAACTGACACCTAGTCATGTTCCACAAATGCTCAATTGTATCGGGTTGCCAGGAAATATCTGCACATCTTGCAATGCATTAAAGGTGAGCTAAGCTGTGTGTGTCCAGGCATTATCTTGTGAGAAAATTGTATTTGTTATGTTAGGTGCTACAAAAAAATATGCTCTTGCATCAATGTAGCAGCATCCTGTTAATGTCTATAATGCACCTTAGAGATAAATGGCTGTTAGCATGAATGGCATTTAAAATCATTATTCCATGTTGGCGTCACTCCAAAATTGCAGATATTTATCTAGAGACCATGTTGCCTCCACACTTATCACTTGGAGACAAAAATGAGTCATCACCAAAAACCACACTATATCATTCAGCAATCCTTGCTTCTTTATTGTTATGCTCTTGCACACTCATCAGTGATTTGCTGTTTATGGAAGCCTTCATAAAGGATGGCTGGGCATGAAACATGTATCAGCCAATGATCAGTAAACTGTCCACAACAATATTTAAGCAGTGGAAACATCCCATACATCTTTTTGAAAATGTTTCAGTTTTGGAGCATTGGAAAGATGCAATGTGACATCGTATATAATGATTATTGTGCTGTGATATCTTTCTCCTTACTCTGAGCTCCCTTCCAGAATTGTGTTTTCTTTGTGCGTCCATTGACATCATATCAAAGTAGTAGTTGTGACATCAACCTGCATTTCCTGTAGGATATGCCACAATAGCCAGCCAACAGTATGGAGCTCTAATGTGAAGCCTCCCACAAGCTCACCTGTTTGCCAATTCTGAATAAAATATCTTTAAAGCATTATCATTTCTTCCTTCATTACCGGTTTGCCAATTCTGAATAAAATATCTTTAAAGCATTATCATTTCTTCCTTTATTATGCCCTGAAACAGGAAAAAAGATGAGTTATTGCTTTGACAGTATTGAAACTGAAGCTGTTTGGATGCCTTTATTCTATTTAATAATCAACTAATTGACTTGCAAATCCAGTCATTTGCATAATTTGTTTATATTCGCTATCACAAAAATTTGCACTGCAATGTGGTTTTTTCTTTATGGTTTGATATTTTCTTTCAGGTATTGTATATATGCTTAGAAATATATGCATATAAGCAGTGTTTAGTTCAAGTGCATGCTGTTGAATTTTTAAAAAAATTTTGGAATTTTTGTATTTTAGTTATTTAACAGATTTATTATTGTCTCTAGTATGTTGCATTACATTTTTAACATTTCTTATCACCTCAAAAGTTATTCTTCAAAAACTGATAGAAGCTTTTCTTTTCTTTTTCTTTAGAAAAAAAGGTTTGACATATTTTTCCCCTCAGGATGGTGTGTGGAGTGAAAGATTAATTCCTATGGAAGCTACAAATATGGAAAATAGCCAAGTCTTACTTTTTGTAATAAAAAATGATTCCAGATCTTTAGCCGATATGATTTTAGTAAGTATCTTACATCTTACCGTTAATTAACTGTACTTGAATAATACTGTGAAAAATGAATTTTACTATTCTGGGTAATATATATATCACTTTATTATTAAATGAAAAATTACTCAGTCCTTTGACATACAATGACATCTGAGATGCATCATATATTATTAATTTCAAAACAGATTTTGATGGATCTCAAATGTCACAAAACTGTAATCACTTCAAAATGAGTTCAGACCATAAAGTGCACATTTATTTATACAGTCAAAAGTAGTTAATTCGGACACCCATAATCCGGAATGATCTATAATCCGGACCTCAAAGCTAAAATCTTTCTGCACATGCGCCGCATTGACGCATGCGCATAGGCGTTTTACTCGTGCGCGCAAGACATTTACGACTGCGCATATGCGTCTGCGCAAGTGCAGAATACGTTTTCGCGTGCACGTTTAATATATAACGGACGGTATAAGCTAAAATTATCTATTTCAGTTAATGTTGATGATTGCGTTGTTCCTTAATCTTCAAACTGGATCTGGCTTATTATTTTTTGCAGACTGTAAGAGCAATTTTCTAAAAGTAAGCTTGAACTTTCGATTATGTCAAATAGAATTTCCGATGCTGGAGCTCCCAAAGGATCTAGAAAACGAAAGTATGTTTCGATGTCCATCAAACAAAAAACGAATTGCTACAAAAAATGGATAAAGGCATATTCTTTGTTTATCTAACCGTTCGGAAATCTGTTTATCAATTTCAGGCTGCTCTGCGCCAGGGGGGGACGTCTCCGCGGGCAATGAACTGGAAGTTGATTTGTCAACACTATTGTTATCTTCAGGGCAGATGTTTTTATTTTTATTCAGCTTATAATTCCTTACTAAATGTAGTATTTAATTTCGATGTACTCCGTCTTTGATATGATTTAAATCAAATTCCTCGTCATTATAAATATCACAAATACAAATCAAATAGTTTTCTGGTTGCAATTTTCTAATTTCGGCGATGCGTAAGGTATGCTTTACGCATCCGCGCGTTGAAAGAAATGTTTAATAAAGTAATCAAATAAATATTAGGCTTCTTTTTTGGTAAATTTTGATACCCTTTAGATCATAATTGCTCATTATTTTATAAATTACGGTTTCATATTTTTAATTTTATAATTTCTGCATGCCATCTTACCAGATTTAAACTGATGATCTATACTCCGGAAAAATCGATAATCCGGAATTGCCGAAGTCCCGACGAGTCCGGATTAAAGACTTTTGACTGTATATACATACATATATATATATATATTATATATTAAACACATCAACTTTGAATTTTACTTGTATGTCAAGGGGTTAATTTTCCCCTTCTTCCTAATCTTTCTTCTTTTCAGGCAAAAAATATATGTTCTCTCTCTCTATTTTTCTTTGAGGGGGAAGGGACTGGAAATTTTAATGTCTTAAACCTGTTACATGCATGCATTATGTTTTCTAAATGAATGAATTTAAATATATCCTTATTAATGTATAACAGTATTTACAATGCTTAACAAATTGCTATAAATGTGAATAGTAATACAAAGAAACCAATAACTATTGTGATTACTGCAATTTCCGGAAGAAACGCTGCGCCATTTACGTGTTTAAAACTTAAATTTTCAGCGGGTGCGTCGTTTCTACCTATGCGGCGTTTAGGTCACTAAATATCAAATATTTCGTATGATGGTCATTGTACATAGTTTGGATAGCCTTGTCATTCATTGTGCATAGACTGGTGCTGTTCCCACACAAAAGACCACTCAGTTGCTTTTTGCAAACATTATTTTGTTTACATTCTTTCCCTTGAATGGATCTACATGCCTTATTCACCCTAGATATCTCAGAACAATAACATCCTTCCCCCTTTCAAATCAACAATCTCATCAGTTTGAATAGTTTTTCTCCTCTGCCATTCCATGAATCTTCCAGTACCCATCGTCTCCCCACCCCTGCCTTTTCTGCAATTTTTTTCAAAGGCGGACAGGACTCCACCTGCCTCGCAATAACGAACTCTGACATATTTCCCCTTCAGCATGAATCGATTTTTCTTGGCATTCTGCCAGATACAGATCCCATTAGTTTGGGTACAAGTACTTGTTGGATAGTTTTTAAGTAAGAAGGGAGTGGAAAATTTTTGAAACTGTCACCTAAACTGCACAGAAGCTATACTGCTGGTTTTAAGCTTAATGTAATTTCACGTGCTGAGCAAATTGGAAATCAAGCAGCAGCTCGAGAGTTTGAAGTTGACAAGAGATCTATTCGACGTTGGAGGACTGAAAAAGAACTTCTTAAAAATATGCCACAACAGAAACGAGCCAAAAGAAGTGGTACTGTAAGGTGGGCGAATCTAGAGGACGACATTGAAAACTGGAAAAAGGAGCAACGAGGAAAGGGAATGGCAATTTCGACTGTAAAAATTCGCTTACGAGCAAAATTTATAGCAAAACGAATGAATATAAATGATTTCAAAGGAGGTGTAGCAGATTTATGAGAAGAAAAAATATTTCTGTGCCTACTAGAACAACAGTCGGGCAACAATTACCAATGGATTGGCAGGATAAAAAGGCATCTTTTCTAAAATATGTGACAGATATTATTGACAAAAAAAAACTTCTAATCACAGATAATAAATATGGATGAAACGCCGTTAGATTTCGACTCTCCTGCAAACAGAACTGTTGATGAAACTTGTGCAAAAAACTGTATCTGTGCTTACGACGGGGCATGAAATAATGTCATTTACATGTGTGTTAGCATGTGCCGCAAACGGTGACAAGCTAAAGCCGAGGATCATTTTTAAACGAAAGACTATTCCGAAGGGAGATTTTCCTAATGACGTAATTATTTGTGCAAACGAGAACGGCTGGATGTTCGAAACAATCGTGCATGAGTGGCCACAAAAAGTTTGGCAGTGTCGTATGGGATCTTTTTTCCAACCAAAAGGGTTATTGATAATGGATTCCATGCGTGCTCATTTACTTGAGTCAGTGAAAACCAGATGTCAAAAATTGTCTACGACCGAAGCAATAATTCCTGATTGTTTGACAAAAATCTTACAACAGTTAGATTTATCAGGTAATAAATCCTGAAGCTGAAGTCCGAAAGTGGTGGGAATGTTGGATGAGTGAAGGATTGCATACGTATACCAAAAGCGATAAAATGCGTAGAGCATCTTAAGTGCGTGGAAATCGGTAAAAACATCGTCAATAATAGCAGGGTTCAAAGAAGCTGAAATTATATCCTTAGATAAAGAGACTGTAAACCAAGAGGATGAATGTGACGATCTGGAAGACTTGGACTTAGATCAGGATTTACTAAATCTTTTTAATTCAGATAGTGAAGAGTAAGATTTTGATGGCTTCATATGATATATAGTTTGCTGTAATTCCTTTTGTAAGTAAAATTTAAAACTTCCTTTTTTCATCCAAAGTTAATATTTTGTTGTTACAACATTTTTTATAATATAGTCTGAGTATTACAAATATGGATTTCTTTAGTGGGTAAATACAAGTATATATGTGAAGCTAAATATACTTTCCACATTTCTTACCTTTAATTTATTTTTGAGTTATCGTTTCATTTCATGCATTTTTCTTAACTGGTATGTAATATATCAGGACTTAGGTTGAGATTTTGCATCTATACGGCCCACGACGATGTCACGCGCAATTTAATCTATTGCTGCGTTTACGATGATGCGGCCTTTCTTCCGGAAATTACGGTAACTTTTCAAAACATATTTATTGCAGATTTAAAATATGTAAGTTATTTCAAGGAAGCATAAGAAATTAAAGTTTAATCAAGTTGTAACAACCAAATTCTTATTTTATCCATTCATAAAAAACTTGATAGTGTTTCCTTGGTATTGTGAAAAAAATTATAGTAGAAGTATGTGTTGAATCTGTTATGTTTCTTTCTCTCTCTTTTATCTAGGCAGCTCATTATGTTGGTCTTGGATGTCAAGTTGTTCTTTGTATCCAGTACATACCAGATGATACGGAAATCGATGGAGAAAAGGTAATAAAAAGTATTATTTACCAAAAATAGGACTGATGCTTTAAATGAAAAATCAAATTTTAATGTGCTTGCATTGTAATTCAAAAACACATTTACAGTTGTTCATTTTGGTACTTTTTTGTTAAAGCCATACCAGTAGGGAATTTTACTGGGAGGAGGGATGTATTTCATCAATGCCAATTTAATTAAGCTTCTTTTTTTACTATAATTATCTTTATAACCATCAGTAGTGTTTTTCATCTAATCTTAATTCCTTTTGTATAGTAGTGAATAGGGACACCTCTATTTTCAGTACCCTAGGCAAACAATGCATTTCATGCCTAAGTTAAACATATTAATACTTTCTAGCAAAACATTCATTTATTTAGTTAATTAAAAATGAAACATCTTAAATGTTTATAGACTGTTATAAATGAACATTAGGAATCTTTCATATAAAACCGTCATTGATGGTGTCATGATGTTGTATTTCTTGGACAATATCAATTGATAGAAATTCAAGAGATTTTAACTTTTCTTCTCTTAAGCATGACCTTAAGCTTTTATCAGTTTCAGCTTAGAAAAACTTTCCGCTGCAGTCCTATACCAGGAATTAACAATAAAAAATCTAAACCACCCATACATTAGCATAAGTATCTTCTAAAGAATATGTATGAATATAGGAGGCAACTTTAATGTGTGTTCAGAAAGATCACTTAGGACCTCCTGAACATCATCTGTTTGAAATCTTAATTACTTTCACAAATTCAGCATTCCATCCAGAAAATAATTCAGCAATTAGACCCTCAACCCAAGAGCAGAAAACTTCTCATTTATTTACTAATCCAAAGAAAGGATTACAGGTACATTGGAGAGAGAAATTGTATCAACAGGTGGTTTAGCAGCATCACAGAATGCTAAATTTAAGGAATGAAATTTACAGGACACACAGTACTATTATTCAAAATCAAAATCTTCTCCTGAATGTCTGCATGTTTGCCTGTCATATTAGCAACGTGATATTATTCTGAACTCTACAGTTATTAAGCTGAAGATTATTCTGATTCAAAAATCCAACTATATTTCTGTCACTCCTTCTCTAGTAAAGCTGCCCAGAATCCCTTTGAAATATATAGGTTATAAATTATTTATAGGTTTAAAAGTACTTCTGTCAGTTTCAATATATCTTAATATCAGACATTTATTTCTTATGGTGTATGTTTGATGTGCAGTCAAAGGTGATCAAATGATATTTTGCCATAACTACTTTGCATTTGATTTCATCTTTAATTTTTATTTATATTTTTATTTAATTTAAAATTTTAAGAAATTAAATTTTAACACTCTTTCCAAAATAGTGAATCTGTTTCATTTGCTTTTTCATGGCTCTTTGGATATACTTCAGTCCTACAGGATTAAATTATTTAAGTAATTGGATTTAAATTGAAAAAAAATTCCATTGCTTTCCTCTTATAACTTGCTGGTAGTTCCACTTAGAACTAGATTTATGCATGGTATTGAAGAATTTCCATTTGTCTGTTTAGAATCTCTCTGTGCTTTCTCTTTCTCCATTAAATTTATCCTGCATATCAATATAAAGGCTGTTGTTCACTTTTAATCTTCTTTGTTTCAATTCATTGCTAATGCTTTGATATGCCAAATTGATGTTTGATGCTTCTTGAGAGTGTGATTTTTATTTCCAATTGCAGTTTCCAGTATTCATGAGACTACCACTGTTGCCCCTTTCAAATAATTTGCAAGTAAATCCGAAAACTTCATCAACATTCCTCCAATACACAAAGTAGCATAAGTGCCATATTTCTTCATGGTTTTCAAGAACTCTTGTGAACAAAATTGCTCATAAACAACTATTATTCTTATCTCTTGGATATGTATCAGTGTGCCGTACTTTTTATTTTGATACTACTAGATATTGTTGAGTTCTAACATATATTTGTAACAGCCATGTTGTTGGATCAGCCATGTTGTTGGATCCATGTTTTCAGGCTCTTCAAATTCTGTGCTGAAAGCACCACATTCAGATTTGTAATTTATTTCAGTTTTCTGCTTAACAATATCATGAATGAGCATTAAAATTCTATTAGATCATATATCAGATGCTTTCTCAAATTATCTCATACTGATGCATTCTCATTATCAACATTTATACAGTCCACTTCTTCTTGAGATGCATTTCCCAACTGTAGATTCTCCAAATTTTCAACTTCTGCAAGTGTTTCATGTTTAAAAGATTTATTGAAAGTACCATATAGTTTATTATTATTATTATTTCTCCTTTGTCCTTGAGTGTCCTTTTCTTGTATTCATATTCTGATGGCTTTACTTTCTTCATTTTTTTGATTAATTCTGTTGACAGTGAACAAGAAAAGAAAGCTGTGGTAGTGATATTAGAGAAGTAAATAGAGTCTTTACCTAAAGTCTAGATATTTTATTACTTGTAAAACCAATCGGGAAGTGATTCAGTGATAATTGGCATTGAATAATAAATGTCTTACTACAAAAACAAAATAACTGTAGCAACAGTGAGATACAAAGAACTTGTAAAACCAATTGGGAAGTGATTCAGTGATAATTGGCATTGAATAATAAATGTCTTACTACAAAAACAAAATAACTGTAGCAACAGTGAGATACAAAGAAAAATCAAAAGCAGTGATACAACTTAAGTGAAAAAATAAAAATTCTATTAAAAATTTAAAGAATGTCTGTCACAAGAAAATGATCTGTCAAAAGTTAGCTTTAAAAAGTATAACAAATAAAATACAAATAACAGTACCAAAAAAATAAATTTAGTATTCACTTGTCAACATACAAATATCTCATGCCTTGCTTCACTCCAGATATTGAGTTTATAAACACTGTGCCTTCTAAAAAAAACATGAGACATCTTTTTATATATATTTGAGGGTATGCAAAAATATGTTCCTCGGTGGACTTGCGTGTTAAGTTACTGTATTTTAATACATTATCCCTGTTTGTTAGAGCATTTTATTGCTTGTGAGAGCTACTAAGTTGTTGTTTTCCGAAAATCAGATCCCTTGAAGCATCTCCTTGAAACCAAACCTGACAATGGATTTCTTTATTTAGGATTTGAAATATTTCATGACTTCATGTGTCATTGCTTTCAAAAGAGAAAATGTTCTCAGCTGTGCTAAATGACTTTTTAAATTGCATTTGTGCTGCTGAGTCTTCATTCCTTTTTTTAAATGTAGTGTTTATATTAGTTTTAGTCCAAAGGTGCAATTTGCCCCGAAGGATTATTAATTTCGTTTTGGCATTTTGCGTCGAAAACTTAAAAATCTGTATCACTTTTCAAATCGTTGCCACCATATATTATTATCCTGTCTTATGTTTAAAGAAATTAAATAATGAAGAATCTGCATAAATGTATGTATGTTTCTTGCATTGTGGTAAAACTATGGTACCTAGAGCCATCAAAATTTGAATAACGTAATCTTCCTAATAAGGACATGTGGAGGCCCTGATTTTAATTTGAAATTTGTTTTATTATCGATTTCAGGTTTTGAAACACTTCAATGAACCTTTGATTAAAAAACTAAATGATTTCAAAGTGAGCAATGGCAACACTTTACGAAGAAACGTTTTTATCTCCAGCACACGAGACTCTATATTGGAAATTCTGAAGATATGCTCATTTAAAAATTAATTTGCAATATTGCTGTTGAACTCAATTTTATAGTTTGGGTTCATAGGACATGATATTTAATAAATAAAGGTAACACACAAAACGTTAAAAAAAAAAAAAAAAAAAAAAAAAAGCCCCTTTGGATGCAATTTAAAATTTGAAACCTTTCATATTTTTTTTAATTTTATTTACTCATTTAAGAAACAATAAATGTAATTGCATTTTATCTCTATTCTATGTTTAACCTTTTTCCTGAAAAGGGCTTCAGAAATGAAACCAACAAAAAGGAGAAAACATTAGTGACATTGTGAGAAAGGAGAAAACATTAGAAAATAAAACTAATGTTCAGAAGAAATGCCCCACATTGCTTTAACAAAAAAGTATCATTTATTCTTTTTCTCTTGCTGAATTTCTAATTTTTATTAATTTTTTCAGTAAGTAGATTAATACTCTTTATAATGCTTTGAATAGTATTTTGAATTCAGTTATTATTCATATGCTGAGCATTAACTATTTAATGTTTGGTGTTTTTGTTAAGGAAACATTAAATTACAAATTAAAATGTAAATACTGTTATAATTAGAACATTGTATTCAAGTACTGAAGTTACATTTTAAAGTGACCTAGAAAATGAAAATTTTTAGCTTATTTTCTTTGTCCATTTTGGAGAATTTTGTTAAATTTTTATCCTGTTGTGGGGAAAAATTACTTTTCAATACAATTGCATTAATCTTTAAAAGGATAACAAGATTGTGTGCTTAATAACAATTACCATGGAAACTGAATCTTTCTCTCTGAAAACGTTCTTCACATAGAACTATGGGAGTACATTGTTGCAACATGGCCTATTTTTCTATAGAAATAAGTTTTATATGGTATATGGGCATTGCCTAAGACAAAGAATGTTATTTATTTACCATAAATGTGATTTACTAAAATGACAGTAGTTGTGCTAAGATTGTTAAAAACTAGGGCTTTAGGCACTAATATGGATCAATAAATTTTGTCAAAGCTGTTACCAAGAAAGATAAGATATTTATTTGCATTGTGTTAGTTATATTTTTAGTGAAGTCTTTATTTTCAGACATTATTAAAATAATTCTGAAATTATACAGAAAGCATTCTGTGCTTAAAATATGATTTGTTTTATTAGGTTACAAAATTCAACTGACATGGATAATTCATTGTAATAAAAAGTAATTTTGAGTTAAATAAAGAATTTTGTTGATCTTTGTTTTAGAAGGAAAATTTCCCTAAAGCATCTTATTTGAAATATAACAAGGAGCTTTAAATCATTGCTTAAACCAATGCGCATTAAATGTATTATTTTTACTTTTGTTGATGAGATCCCATG